GAGAGATATGTATAAAATATATATATTATATGTATAATATATTACTGTACAAAAAACATCAATGCGTCAACTATTATTTTTGGGAGCAGCTATATTGCGTAGTTTTCCTAAAAATAATAGCTGAAAGAATATATAGTTATTATATATCAATGTAATATATATAATTTTTATTTATTTAGCTAGTAAATACAATTATTTTTATCGCGCGGCCAAATATCTATCTTACCCAATTTAATGCTGTTACAATTGAAAGTGCCTGTTGACGGAAGTTCTGAATAAATAGTAACACTATGTAAATTCTAGATTTTTCGTAGTACAGTAAAGGGAAACAATTGGAGACAGTGTTATAACTTTATTCTTTGTCAATGAATACACTTGAGTATCTTTAATGATACAAAGTAATGCCCATCATTTTTAAAAAATTACCAAAGTCAAATTGATAGGAAATAGCTGGTATTAAATACATTATTCACTTCGCTATTGTCCAAAAAATAATAATCATTAAACAAGTGAATATTAGGATAGCACCTGAAAATTATGCTTATTAGCAGTTTATTTAATATAGTGAACTAAACCTTTTGCGAATGTTTTATGTTTCGGTTAAATATGTGATCTTTCATCGATGGTCCAGTGTTTAATATTTTTATTTATTTTCCCCTCTTGAACATAATTAATAGGAAGAAGGGAATATGTAATTATGCAACAATGTTCAAAAAGCCAGTAATATTCAAATTCGTAATATCATTCAGAAGATTCGTCCCTTAACTAACAAAAAGATCTTAGCAGAATTGTTACACATATGAAATTGAGTACATTTTTTGCAAACAAAAAAAAAATCATTTATTTCTCGAAAAGACATAAAAAATATGTTCAATGTTATAAAATAAAAACTGTAAAGTAAATAAATCGAAGACAAGTATAGAGAAAGATTGATATATTATTCAACTTCAAACTCATGTACATAATGAACTGAAATCTCTTATATTTATAGAAGAAAGGAAGTTGCTACTACAAGTTGCTGTGTAAGCTGCTACTGCAAGTTGCTGTGTAAGCTGCTTGTAAGCTCCTACGGCAAGCTGCTGTGTAAACTTCTTGTAAGATGTTATTGTACCAGTTATAGATAATCTTCTAAAGAAGTAATATTTATCCACAACGGAGTGTCGAAATGATAAGCTTCTTCAGGAAATTTATTTCCAATAGAGTACTAAATATATAAACATATTTACGGCGGAATCCAATATGAATAAGCTTATTCAGGAAGCTTATTTACAACTGAGGCACATCCATAATATAATATATTTATAACATTCAATTTCAATCTTAGATTGGTTGATTGTCAAAGCCTTCTATAATATGTTGGAGGAGATTGATTGGACTGTATATCGTTCCATATTTCGTTTTTTTTTTTTTAAAATTGAATTCTCTAAAACTTAAATATAAGTATCACTTGAGTAAATCTAAAATTCTAGTATCAACGCTCAAATTGTAACATCTTAATCATGAAGTTATTCTTTTGGAATCAGTATTTTGTTTAGTAGTATAAAGTATAGAAAAAGAAGAAAATATGCTGAAAAAATGAAAAGAGAAGGAGGACCAATAAAATTAAAAATTGGGAGAAATGGAAAATTACTTTCTTGGATCCTGAGACTGCTAGAGACATTGCCACTATTATTGCCAAAAATCAATATCATTCTGTTTGGGATGGTTAAAGAAAAAGAAAACAAGGAATGATGAAAAAGTGGTGCCTAGATAAAACAAAAAAGAGAAGGAGAAAATAAATCAAAGAAAAATCAAAAAGTATTGCAACAGAGCAGACAAAGGAGAAAAGAAAATACTAAGAAATAAAGATGTGAGGCACAAAAAGCAAAAGAAAACAGAGAAATAGACTTGTTAGCTTTACCAAATGGTGATGAATTGTGTGAATAGAAGCATGGGAGTTACATAAAGAAGTAACAACAAAAAACTTAAGAGGAAGAGGAAAAATTGGTATTGTTGAATTTGAGGTATTGGAATTTGAGTTTAAATCCTATACACTAATAGTGTAAAAGAATTTGTACATTATTAGATTATTTAAAAGATAATTATATATAGTCGTCTATTATAAATAAGATTAGTGACCCACAAATAACAATAACAACATAGTCAGTGTAATCCTACTATATAACAATAACAACATAGTTAGTGTAATCCTACTATATAACAATAACAATATAGTCAGTGTAATCCCACAAATGAGATCTGAGAAAGAGAATGTGTATGCAGACTTTACCCCGACATTGTACAGATAAAGAAAATATTTTTCATAGACCCTACAAATATAAACACAACAATTTAGAACAAGTGATGCAGGAATCAAGAAGGGAAACATGCAGAAACAATAGTAATCTAATAATATATTAAAGCAGAAGTAGCATCAGGAAGTAATTGAAAACTAAGAAAAAGAAACCATAATAGTAAAGCTACTGGTATGGGAAGAAAAAGGAAAAAATAATAATTTTTTTACACTATCACTATATACAAGTCAAATCCTTTGAATTTTACATATGACTCTTTTTCTTTTCTTTTCCTTTCCTTTCCCCCTCTCTACTCAGACAAACAAAACAAACTAGGTAACTAATCATCATGAAACATCCTCTATATCCAACACTAAGAAAAAGCAATTCTAACCAACAAAACATTACTTCCCTTAAATTTACCACTCTTTACAAAGCCTATTTCTCAACCATTTCCTACACAAACACAACCCCAAAACCATGAACCATTTCCTTTCTCTCTTTCTCACTACATCTTTCTCAATTCTCTTCTTTCTCACAAAAATTCCACTTGTTTTGTCCATTACCACCACCTCTACTTCAAATCTTTCAATTCAACTCATTTCTCTTTTGTCCTTAAAATCTTCTTTTCAAGATCCTAACAATACATTCCAAGATTGGAATCCCACAACCACCTTCTCAAAATTTAGTTTTCAACCCTTTTGGTGTTCATGGTCTGGCATTAAATGTGACACAAAAACAAGCCAAATTACAACACTTAATCTCTCAAGAAGAAATCTTTCTGGTAAAATTCCACAAGATATTAGATTCTTGGTACATTTACACCACTTAAATTTAAGTGGAAATTCTTTTGATGGTCCTCTACAAACAATTATTTTCCAATTTCCTTTCCTTAGGACACTTGACATTAGTCACAACTCTTTTAATTCAACATTTCCACTTGGCATTACTAAGCTCAAATCTCTCTCACATTTAAATGCCTATAGCAATAGCTTCACTGGCCCTTTGCCACAAGAAATTGTTCAACTTCAAAATCTTGAGTACTTAAATCTTGGTGGAAGTTACTTTGATGGTGAAATTCCAACAAGTTATGGAAATTTCAAAAAATTGAAATTTTTACATTTGGCTGGAAATTTACTGTGTGGTAAAATCCCAGTTGAGTTAAGTTTCTTGAACCAACTTGAACATATAGAAATTGGATACAACAATTACACTGGCAATATTCCTTCTGAATTTTCCTCTTTATCAAATTTGGCCTATTTAGACATTTCTCAAGCTAATCTCTCTGGTGAAATTCCATTTCAATTAGGAAACTTGAAAAATCTTGAATTTTTACTTCTTTTCAAGAACCATTTTATTGGCAAAATTCCTCAGAGTTTTTCCAAACTGACATTGCTGAAATCACTGGATTTATCAGATAATCATCTCTTTGGCAATATTCCAGATGGATTTTCAGAATTAAAGGAGCTCAGCATGTTATATTTGATGAACAATAATTTAACAGGTGAAATTCCACAAGGAATTGGTGAGCTTCCAAATCTTGAATTATTATCTCTTTGGAATAATTCACTCACTGGAATTTTACCACAAAAATTAGGATCAAATGCAAAGTTACAAAAACTTGATGTCTCTTCAAATTCTTTGTATGGTCCCATTCCACCAAATCTTTGTCTTAGCAACAAGTTAGTTAAACTCATCCTTTTTTCAAACCAGTTCAGTGGTAAGATTCCTTCATCCTTAGCAAATTGCACAGCTTTATCGCGGTTGAGAATTCAAGACAACAAACTCAACGGCTCGATTCCTTTAGGATTCGGGTTTTTGCCAAATTTCACATACATGGATATCAGCAAGAATAATTTTTCAGGTACAATTCCAAAAGATTTTGGAAATGCCGTGAAAATGGAGTACTTGAACATATCTGAGAATTCATTTAACAGCGAGTTGCCTGAAAATATTTGGAAAGCGCAGAGTTTACAGATATTCTCCGCAAGTTACAGTGGACTTATTGGAAAGCTTCCTGATTTTAAAGGGTGTGAAAATTTGTACAAAATTGAGATTGAAGGAAATAATCTCAATGGTAGTATTCCATGGGATATTGAACATTGTGAAAAGCTAATTTCGTTAAATTTTCGACGAAACTCGCTTACTGGAATCATTCCCTGGGAAATATCTGCAATTCCTTCAATAACAGACGTTGATTTGTCACATAATTTTCTCACTGGGACAATTCCTTCAAATTTTGGCAAGTCTAGTACATTGGAACATTTTAACGTGTCATATAATCAATTAACAGGTCCATTGCCTTCTTCAGGATCAATATTTTCTACATTTCATCCGTCGTCGTTCATTGGAAACGAAGATCTTTGTGGTATTATTATACATAAACCGTGTAGGACGGACAGACTCAACGACGGGGAAATAGAAATTCGGCGACAACCCAAACAAACGGGCGCCGGTGCAATAATCTGGATTGGGGTTGTAGCATTTGGAGTAGTATTGTGTTTCCTCTTTGTGGGTGTCCGATGTTTCTATTTGAATTATAGCCAAAGATTTTCAAGTGATAAGGTAATTGGACCGTGGAAATTAACAGCATTTAAAAGGTTAAATTTCACGGCAGATGATGTCCTGGAAAGCATAACAACCACAGACAAGATACTAGGAATGGGATCTGCAGGTAAGAAACATCCTAAATATTACGTCTTTGTCTCAATTTATGTGTTGCAGCTCCGATTTCAAAAGTCAAATGAGATTATTTTTTTGTCGCAAGCTTTTGATATGCATTTTTAATATTCTGAATTGTCAAAATACTGTGACCTGAAGAACTTTTTATATAGTTTCCAAATATGTATTTTTATTTCAAAAAACTTTAGTCGTTTTGTCATAAAAACAGTAAATTTTTTTAAAATATAATATTTGGAGTTAAGTTGAAAAACAGTATTTGGAATTTGAAATTATGTTTGGACTTGTATTTCACTTGAAAAAATATTGCAGTTTTGTGAGTTGGGAAAAAAAAATTTCAATTTTTAAAAAAAGTGGGCTTTTGTAAAACTCATTTTCTTAAAATCTTCAAAAACTTACAAAATTTCATTTTCAAGAAGTTTGACTCTCGAAATCCGAACTACATCAATAATAACTCAGAACGTTGATTCATCTTGATCTGCCTCAGGTACAGTGTACAAGGCAAAAATGCCAGGTGGCGACATCATAGCGGTGAAGAAGCTATGGGGGAAGCAGGTGAAGGAGACAATAAGGAAAAGAAGGGGTGTATTAGCTGAGGTTGATGTCTTAGGCAACGTAAGACATAGGAACATTGTGAGACTATTAGGTTGTTGCAGTAACAATGAGTGTACCATGTTGTTGTATGAGTATATGCCTAATGGAAACCTAGATGACTTGTTGCATGGCAAGAACAAAGATACAAATTTGGTGGCTGATTGGTCTACTAGGTACAATTTTTCTTCACTTCAAATTTATTTGGTAATGATAATGACGTGAATTGAGTCAATGGTCTATTGAAAACAGTTTATCTACCTCACATAAGGTAGAGGTAAGATATCAGCGTACTCTATCCTCCATATACCCCACTTGTAAAATCATACTCAAGTGACACCGCTTCGTCGAATTTTCTCCCGTAATTTATATGTAATTATTGGGTATAAATATAAAAGTGATACCGTTTGCCATTACAATAAATTATTCCTTTTTTATTTCTTCAAATATTTACATCGTTTATGAAAATTTCTGCATACGCCACTGATCATATTATATATGTTTTTATTATTTTAATGACGTGAGTTGAGCTTATACGAAGAAGTATTGAAACTTCATATTGCGGACCTCGATATTTGAATCTAAAACATAGTTATTGTTGTTTGATTTACTAGGTACAAAATTGCACTAGGGGTGGCACAAGGAATTTGCTACTTACATCATGATTGTGATCCTGTAATTGTTCATCGTGATCTAAAACCTAGTAATATTCTTTTGGATGGAGAAATGGAAGCTAGAGTTGCTGATTTTGGAGTTGCTAAATTGATTCAGTGTGATGAATCTATGTCCGTTATTGCTGGATCTTATGGCTACATTGCACCTGGTAAGTTTTTTAATCCCTTTAATTTTAAAGGATTATTCTCAGGGAATCAGTTCAACAGTCAAGAGAATACAATTTGAACCACAACACATAAATTCGAAATCTAATTTGTCTAGTGTGTGTTTGGTACGATCGAAAATCTTTTTTCCATAGAAAATCTTTTCTCCAAAAAATGTTTTCAATGAGGTAATCACAAATATCATAAAATGTTACTAACAAAGGTTGTGGGTGTTAAGTACTTTTTTATCATTAATCATTGATCAGAGATCTAGTGTTCGAGTCTTGAGTATGTAGTCGTCTTTGTTAGGGAGTTATTTACCTTCCAATGTAGTACTTTCTGGTGCGAATCCGAATTTAATGGGGTAATAATTTATATATACCGGATTTTCCTTTCTATTAGGCGGAACTCGAACATCATTTTTCTAATCATATTTAGTTCTCAAAAATATCTATCATAAAAATGACATTCTTAAAAAATGACTTCCATTATGCAAATACACCTTATATGATCAGCAAAATCTGATTAAATTTTCTGTCCCTATTGACTATGTAAAAGAAAATTTGGAATGTCCAACGTATGTTATTTTATGCTTGGTTTGTGCTTTTTCTGTTGTGTAATGTTTATCCAAAAATCTATCGCATCCTGTCGGTTTAGTTCATTCTGTAGGGTGACGAAAAGGGGTCACTTACGTGCTTAACGTGGTGTCATGTCATAAAATACTGTATTTGGTGAACTTCATATCTATCTTCATCGTTTCCATCCACTTTTTTTTTCTCTAATCAGTTTTCAAATCGATAATTAAAAAATAATTATTATTTTACTGTAACACGAAAAGTTTCAGCATAATATACTGGAGATTGGTGTATGAACTTCCAGTATATTATGTTGAACCAGTATATTATACCAGAACTCCAGTATATTATGCTGGAAGTTCACATATAAAAAAAAATTAAACTCTATTATATTATGGCAGAATATTTTCTGGATTTTGAACAGTATTTTCGTTCAGATTTATCTTTCTATGAAATTGGCTAAATTTCGATTACTTTTAAAATTGTGTCTATTTTTCAATTACTACTTGTAAATCTTGCTATTTTTGAATTTTTTTCCTTTTTTTCTTTTCTTTCATAACCGTAATATTTGTGCTAGTTTGCTCGAATATTTTGCTCCATCAAAATTTAGGTAGAGGCAAAAAAATTACTTAGCTTCTACTGATATTTGAATTTAAAATTTCATACCAACACTTCATTTCATTGATAACTAGGTCACCCCTATGTTACTCGTTTCTGTCCACTTTCATGTGTCAAGTTTCAAGTTTCAGCTTATAGGAATCTTCTATGTTACAATAATCAATTCTGGGAGACCTAGGTCATATTTTGAACTTGTGCACCAATATTTAAAGAAATATTTCTCTCTGTTTCTAAAATTTTACATACTAGGAGAGAGTTTATTAGTGCTTTGTGATGATAGGTATGAATTTGTTAAAAATATGTATTTTCAAGAAAGTTCTCATATCATCACAAGTGTAAGGGTGGCACCATTATTATCACCTTCTTTTTTTTGCTTTTTCTCGCCGTGATTTACTACTATAGTTTTAACCTTTTAGGGGCCATGGGCAGTATTAATTGCGCGTGAATTGGCCCTTAGGCTTTAATTTTGATTTTTACTTTATGTTATTCTTTGGACCCACAGAGATTTTTCCAAAATATTATCTGAATCTTCAGGATGATTAATCCCCCTAATTTATTACTAGACCTTAATATTAAAGAGTCAAACTTTCTAGATTTCCTTGGCGCTATAAGACAATATGTTATGATAACCCATTTAATTTTTTTAAAAATTTTTGGTTTTCCACATAGTGTACGATGTTCTTAAATGGAAAAATGATATTGTACGATCGTTCTTAAAATAATAGTCAAAAGATATGTAAATTTATATATTTTCGGCTATCGAATGTAAGTAGTGTCTGGCGCGGGCTAGAAATGATAATACCCCTTCTTAAATTTCTTGTTGTTTCGTTCACATAAGTTTTCTGATTGGTCTGCTTGTGTTGATGCTAGTTGTTATTCTTTCCTTTTATCCTTCAGGAACTTTTTTACCCTTTTTATCTCTTTTTTTCTTGAGTCGAGGGTCTACCGATCGAAAACAATCTTCTCTATCTTCTCAAGGTAGGGGCAAGGTCTGGCTATACACTACCTCCATACTTACAATATTACACTGAATTTTTTGTTGTTGTTATTGTTGTCCAGTATCCGCGTTGAGGCGCCGACTAATCCGAATTCTCACCTTCTAAGGCCGTTAAAGAGGAAAGCACTCCAAATTATTTCCATTTCGAGACAACCCATTTATTCGTGCTAGATAGCTATGTTTTACTTAATTATCTTACTTCTAAAACTTCTGAATTCGTAGTACAAGTACTAATCCAAGTCCATTAAAATGTAGTAGTACTAGTTTACTAAGTATGTTGTACGTTTGCAGAATATGCTTATACATTGCAAGTGGATGAGAAAAGTGACATCTACAGCTATGGGGTGGTGCTAATGGAAATTTTGTCCGGAAAAAGATCGGTAGATCCAGAATTTGGTGATGGAAATAGCCTTGTTGATTGGGTGAGGTCCAAAATGAAGAACAAAAATGGTATAAATAGCGTGTTGGATAAAAGTGCTGGCGCTTCATGTCCTCGGGTGAGGGAGGAAATGATGTTGTTACTTAGGATATCGTTGCTATGTTCTAGCCGAAATCCGGCTGATAGACCTTCTATGAGGGATGTTGTGTCTATGTTACATGAAGCCAAACCTGAAAGAAAGTTGTCTACGAATGGTGGTGGTAGTGCAACTGCGGCTTTTTCTTTGGCACAAAAGACCAATGTTGAGTGTTAATATAATTGGAAATTTGGTTTGTTTGTTTTTTTTTGTCTCTTTTTCTCTTCAAATTGTGGGGGATTGGTAATTTGGTATAGGAGAAGTCAATATTTTCTTTTAAAATTTATCTAGTGGAAAGTCATGTGTTCTGATTCTACTATTCTATCTTGAATAGACCATTAATTTTAACTTGACTAGTAACAAAATAGATATTGATATCAAGGATTACAAAAATGGAACAAAATAAAATGATATTAAGTACTCTTAGAATATCTCAAAACTGTGTGTTTCGGCAAAGGAAAAAAAGATATATTCAAGATCAAGCTCCTTCTCATCTGCTCCACTCCTTAGCCAATTGGATACAATGTACTCTCAAGGTTTCCTCTTCTACCTGCACATAGAATGATATCATTGGTTTTGCTGTGGCCAATTAAAAAGAATGATTTTTAATTGGTTGAACTATATATTCGCCTTAAACAATACATAACTAAATGAAGTTAGCAAAAACATATATTTACAAAAAATTAGACTTTTAGTGGCGAATGATCGCTTGAAAAAGTTTACGTTGAACTTGAAGTTCAATTGATAATTCATTTACAAAATATTGTTAGGTGTATTTGCTTACCCAAAGTTAAATGTCATATTCAGCTGTTAATGCTCCAAATAAAATAAAGTTCATAATGAATAAAGTCTATGGCATGCATAAAGCATAATAGACTAATCGGTTACAAAGATAAAACTCCTTGAAGAAGGAGAGGAGCAAATGCTCAAGACTCGATAATCGCTTGGAAAAGTTTAGTCGTTGAAGTGGCGATATTGCATCGCCACACAAAATCACTACTAGCGACTCTTAATTCCAATATATTTGAGCTATGTTCTAGCTATAGTTAATTAGATGAAAAGGAAGTTGGCAAATTCGTGAGGCTAGCAAATGGAGCTTGGAACTAGCTGTTGTTTATGAGGTATGGCAAAAGAGATCGTACAGTCAAACCTCTCTATAATAGCCTCGTTTATTTTGATATTTTTTGGTTTCTATAGTAAATTGTTTATTATAGAGAATATATATTATAGCATAACATGAAAAATTCAACAGTTCCTAAAAATAAAAAATTGTCACAAACAAGCTCGGATTCATGGGGTATTTGTCAAATTAGGTTTTCTTTTTTGCGTGTTGTATTCTTATGAATCAACTCGTTTTTTCGAAAATTAAATAAATTAAACTTCGAGGTTAATTTATTTGAGAGCATTATTCGTTTCAATTCGATATTTTTTGGCTGCTATAGTGAAGTGTTGTTATAAAAAATATATATTATAGTAATAAATAACATGAAAAATTGATTCCAAGGAAAACTTGGCCATTATAGTAGACATTAACAGGTCAATAAGAAAAAATAACATACACTAACAGATAAATTAGCAGAAAATAAAGAACGATAAGGAGAAAGAATTCAAGTAAACAAGAGTGCATCTAATAGTCATCAAAGAACAAAAAGGAAATTAAAAGGTAGATCTGACCTCTAAAGAAGAAATTGTATTTATATGATTCTCTAGTTCCTCCGAAAACTCTTTCTCCTGCTTTAAAATGACTATAAGCTGTGTGAGCAAAAAACATGACTGCTCAACCTGGAAAACCAATCACAAAAACTGTTACTAATCTTCTTCATTATTCTAATTAATATATCTATAAATTTTTGAAATGAACAATTTTAATTAATTACCTGCCATTGCATATTCATAATAAAATCCTCGATACCGTCCATGACTTCCTCAGCTGAGATCACAGCATCATAAACCGACGTCACTTTTGCCTGTCCAAATNTACGTGTGATTATAGTAGATAATCTATATATGCAACACACGCCTTTTCTCCCTTGTATTTTCATTATCTTAAAGAGCTCTATTTGTCACGGATACCTTAATTTCTTGTTACAAACTTTATAATTGGCAAGAAGTAACCTTTATATATTTTCACTCCAACAAAATCAAGTACTGCTATAATAAATTTTTCAACTCTACTTAACATATATTAAAAGTATTTCAAAGTAGGTCAACAAAACTGCCACAAGGTTACGTTAGTACTACTAAAATTGTTCTCTGTCCCACAAATTTTTAATTTTCTAAGATTTTATTGGAAATAAAATACGATGTGCCACCAAAAATACGTTTTTAACTCTATCCAAAGCAACTTCTTTTTATAATTGCTCTATGCCCAACATGATGTCGACTAATAAACTTAATTTACTTCAATAAACATGTAAAATTGAAGTAAAAGTTTTTTAATTTAATAAAAATAAAGTAATAAGCATACCTCAGCTCCATCGACTAATGGAAGACAAAGAGAAACTGCTGACAATTTCCTGGCCACCCTTCCAACTGCTTCAGAATTTTTGACCTCTAATCTTTGCCATTCTCTAAGTAAACGACCTTGAGAATTCATTATTTGGTTTATTTTAATTTCGTGCTTCAATTTTTGCACTTGAATTCTCTTCTCCGCGGTGAAGTTTCTCATAATTGAGATTCTTAACCATACATTGAACAGCTTCTTCTGTTACACAACCAAGAAAAACAAGAATATGCACTTCAGTGGAAATAATGTAATTTAATTTCATGTATGGTCATTCGATCTTTATTTATTATAGTTTATTGCACTAAAGTCACAAATATTTTTTCATAACAAAAAATAATTCAATTGTGCCTATATATGACAGAAAATAAATTATATAAAAATGTTAAATCCAATCGTGGAAACACAAGTAGGTACACATTTGAGCTACTCATTTTACATAATATCCATGCGGTACCACTTAAAAAATAAAAACTTACTTTTTTGACAAAATAAACCCATGATCGATGTGTGCCACGTGGTGAAAGACAGCAGTAATATTAGGTTGGATTGAAAAAATGACTGACTTGTTTTTTAAGTGGTGTCACCTGAATATTATGTAAGATGAGTTGTTGATATATACTAACTACTTATGATATGTCAATTTTCTACATATGGCGTCTTACTTGTATTTTCTGGGATCAGATTTAGCATTTTATCTCCTTCCTTATATTTTTTAGATATACAAATGCATAATTGAGTTATTTTTGCGATACAAAAGTTAATTTTATAATTTTGGTGCAAGACACTAAAAGTTGGACATCCATCCATGTAACCTGAAAATTAACGGAAACATTCTTTCTATTTCACAAAGTAAGGGTAAGGTCTGCGTACACACTATCCTTTCCAGACTCCACTTGTGGGTTACACTGAGTATATTATTATTGTTGTAAATTAAAGTATCTAGGCATTGAAGAATTCAGAATTTACCTGTGCAACCCTCTTGATTGTAGCCATAGAAGCCTCAGCACGAGCATTGGCAAACCTCCATTGTACCAACCTATTATTCATAATCCTATATTGATGAAAATCTTCTTCTAATACAGGTGACACTTTTCTCTGCTTAAAATACTTCAAAACCCCAACAACACCACTTCGACTACCACTACTCTCCTTAGACTCCGCTTTCAATTTTCTAGTGCTAGGCGACTTAGGGACCGTATTAGGCAATTGAGATGCAGTCGAATTAGGCAATGGACGTCCTGGTGACAATGCCCATGCAGAAGAAGAATTAGTAATCTTACTCTGATTATTGCGTTGTAAAAATTTACCAAAACTATAATTATGATCTCCATTTTCTTGAGACGACTTTTTAGTCGTCTTGATTTGTGTATAGTTTGGGCTTCTCATCAATGGGCTAACATTTTCTTCACCTCTATAAGTTCTCATTTTCGTCGTTGATTTTGACCGATTGACAAGACTTGGTACTGGGTCTGTTGATGAGTAGGTGTGGATTTCGGGAAGTGACATTCCGCTTTTGCTTCTTAGTAATCGTGGAGAGTTAGCCGGTGATCGCTGAATATTAATGGCTGGTTGATAATTTTGCTTGCGAGTACTGCGATTTTTCTCCTTCTCCATTTTGATGATTTGATGTAAGGTCTTTGTTTTACAGGTTTGTATTTTTGGGAGAAAGATTAGTGTATAAAATTCAACAACTAGTTTTATAAGAGAAAGAAATGTAGGTTTAGAGAACTATAGCTCGAGGGCTAGTAGTTGATAGCACGTTAATATGTTTTTTTCCTTCTTATTTCCAAATTGTAGTTCGAGGCTAACACGAAAATTGGTCGACTACGTGTATTTATTTTATCATGTATATATGTCAAATGAGGAGGACTTTTTGGAGGTCAACGTTAATATGTAATCATTTGATTATAGGAAAATGTTAGACACGTCCTATTAACCAATATATGTTAAATCCCATAATTTGACTACTTAAATTATTACTCTAATTAGCAATAACAATAATATTTAGTACGCTTCAATCTCAAATAAATAGGAGTTAAATAAATTAAAATCGGTTATATAAAGTCTCATTGGCCATTTTTCTGATTCCATTAGTACAGGTTCAATGATACCTCCAAAATAAAAACAAAACATAAAAAGTAGTATTAGAAGTCTGTTTTTTTCGACTGACATAAAATATGTAATTGGACTAAAAGATTTCTAAGAAGAAATAGGACCTAAGGTAAATGAACTAACACGCCTAAAACATATCCAGAACTAATTAGTATCGCCTATAAAAATTATTTTTTTATTGTGTATTATCTTTCGCTAAACTATTATAGAGGGTAGGCCTTTCGAAATTTTTTCTCCACATGTGATTGTAGGTTTACCTCGTTCTCTTCTAACATTTCACTTGGCATGGTTTCGCATCTACATATGAATGCATTTGGAGGGTTGATCTCGTCCAAATCACACCTTAAAACAAGGATATGAAACGGTCAATTGCAATAATAGTAACCCAACAACGAGTCGGGATCGAATCCACATGGAGCTTATATGGGAATTAGGGGTATATATTCTAGTACGTGAGTTTGACCTATCTTAATTTACACTTCCACAAATTGGTTTTGTTTCTATTTCTATTTTTAAAACTAAGATTGCAAAGTTAAGAAATAAAACTAAGATAATAGTATTGTTGTTTTTCAAGTTTGTAAAAAGCCTAGGGTTATGACCATCACCTAGGTGTTCGCCTAATGGGATATAAACCTTAATACTTGTTTTGTTGATCGGGGTGTATTATAGCTATCAACTCTCAATTACCCACTCAGTACTTCTTGGTCAAGGAGTAGTTTTGCCCAATTTGGCTTTCTCAAGTCTAAATGGGTATCACACAAAATGGTTGATAAGAGCTCAAGTCGGGTTATTACTATCTCTAGGTTGAACCCTTTAATTGGGTTGATCAATCTCTCGAATGACCCAATTTTTTGTTAGACGAGTTTTCCTAGACTAAGTCTCTTTTTCTCAAGTAGAGACTAAGTCAATTAGGCATGAACTAATGTTTGCAACCATTAATTCAACAAATTAAGCATGAGCAAGGCTAAATAATAAACACTCAATCATAAACAGACATTAATTAGATACCCATAAGGTTTATACAATAGGTTTGGGTCACAACCCTAGTAAAAATCTAGCTACTCATGCTTGAAATTGAAGAAATAGAAGAAGAAATAGTAATTAAACTCATATTGGAAAGTCAAAATGATAAAATATAAGTTAAAATATCCCAAAATATAGAAAACTACTAAAAGAAGTAAAGAAAAACGGCTACAGGACTTGCTGATGTCAAAAATTAACCTAATTTTGTGAAACTCGTCTATTTATACAAGGCTCGAAATTTCGAACAAAAATGCCCTTCGGGAGGTTCTGCGGCCGCACAATTCTATGTGCGGTCCTCAGAAGTCTTCATCTTTGCAGGAGCTGGGATTCTACGGCCGCACAATTCTCCACTGCGGCCGCGAGGCATTATTTCTGCGGTCCGCAGATTTATCACTACGGCCTCAACCTGGTCTTCTGCGGTCCGCATCTTTACTTTTGCAGCAGCAAGACACTCCTTCTGTGGCCTCACAATTCTTGTGCGGTCCGCATTTTTTAGGGAGTGGACTTTGAAAATTTGCACACCCTCTGAATTTCATTTCCAGTTCTTCATTTGCGGCCGCACAACTCCTGTGCGGTCCGCAGTTTGCTAGAAAACCCTGTTGGGATTTGCTTCATTGTTTGCGGTCGCAGATAGAATTTTGCGGTCCGCACTTTGCAAGCTATTGTGCCTTTTGTTGCCTTGTGTTTTGATTACTCTTTTTTGAGTCAGATTTTATCTCGGGAGTCTGACTTCGAACATTCCTGCAAATTTTGCATATTTCATCAGTTTTGGGAACACAATTAAACGCTTTTAGACCAAAACAAGAGCTAAAAGGTGATAATAAGTAGTCAAAATCCTCACTTATCAACTTTCCCAAACTTAATTTTTTGCTTGTCCTGAAGTAAATAAAATAGTCCCCACCTTCACAAGTTAAGGGTCACTCCAACCAATCAAAAGTGACCCACTCACACATCAATTGGGACCAACAATTACCCACACTACTTATGCATTATCAACAAGGCGACCAGTTAAACTTTTATGCATATGTAGTTCTAATGTGACACTTGAGCATCAAAATTTGACTTTATTCATCAAGAAAACTCGCTCTTTCGTGTAGGTCATTGTGAATCCCAAACTCTTCCTCCTTTACTCTTCATTTGCCTAGCTCACTTAAGAATTTTAGCACTCAATCCAAAGATTTGTGAAAGTTTCACTCATCTCTCTCAAGAGAATGTCGCAAGTACGGTTCAAGTATCATAGGCTTGTCTCTCATGTAGATCGTCACTAATGTAAGCTCACTCGACTTGAAATCACGTAGGGCTTTTTCGAGATGTAATGAAGGTTTTTGGACTAAGGTTGGATACACTATGGTTGAGTGGGATCACCCTTCCTTAAGCACTCCATTTTTTTATTCTCGGCTCAAGCTTTGCCAATTCCTTGAAGCACTTTCTTTTCTTTGGGGAACTAGAGAGACTTAACATCACTCTTTCTTGATCATGACATTCATTTTCTCCCTCCTTGATTTCTCCATGCTTTGTATCATTACTTTTCTTTGAATTCCTTCAATTTTTCCACTTATTCGCTTTCTTTTTGTATTTTTCTTTTTTCTTCTTTCCTTTTCTTGCCTTTCCTTCTCATCATTTCTTTTCTCCTTTTTGTGCCTTGATACCTCTTTTAAGTTCCTCGTCTCTCCCCCAAACTTATATTTTTAGCCAATTGTTTCACAAGAGTGTTAAGGAAAGCTCGGGTGCCGCGAGAGGGTCACGACAAAACGGGTAAAGGCTTGTAACATGGTTATCAAATGAGAAAGGCTCGAGGCTCGTAGGGATAACAGTATTGGTAGGTAATGGAAAATTTTATGCGGGACAAGGAAAGCCTACAATCACTTCTCAAGCCAAGCAAAACTTAAAATTTTTCCTTGAAACACATTTGGGGCAAGTTCTAGACCATTCGCACGGGTACTTAGACTACCAAAAAAATACCTCACCCCTTACGCAACTGAATTGCTAAAGAGGATAGAGTCTAGGGCCCACAACGACCATATTCAAGATTGAAAATTATTATGGTTCGACTGAACCACTCGATGATTGGCTAAGTCAATACAAGAGTCACAAAGTCACTAACTAGAGCTATTTCTTTCAAAAACCTTATTTCTAACCATAAGCACGTAGTTAACTATGTTGGTACCAAGTGAAGCATGTTTGGCTCTTCGATCATGACTTAATTAGGTCTTTTTATTCATTACTACTATTATTATTGCCTAAACACCAAAAAATAAAATAGACTCAGTCCCTTAAGAAGGTTGTCACGCCATCCATCATTGGGAAGAGTCATCCGGTTCACACAAAAACTACCTTTGGAAAGAACTATGGCATTAAGAAAACCAAAGCCTTATTATCCACTAAAACATAAAAGAGATCTACTAAATCGAAAAAGAAGCTACTAATTCAAAAGGAAGTTACTACATAGAAAAGATGCTACTAAATTAAACACTAACTAATAAGAGAACCAAACATGAAGAGGCTACAAACAAAAACTATTGAAAGTAATACGAATATACACAATGAGAGAAGATATATACATAATGAGAGAAGAGAGAATATATACAGAATAAGGAAAAAGAAGAGAATAATGTCGGTTATTACAAACCAATTGTCTCAGAATCATCAAGTCATATCAAATGAACTCCACCCCCATCCCCCATCCCCCACCCCCGAATAAAAATAAGCATTGTCCTCAATGCTTAACAAAATAAAATTAAAGGAAGGGTAAGAGTAAAGAAAACTCCTTATGGCTCCTTGGCCATCTCTGTGTCCACAGCAGCATCACCACCCCCAGTCTTCTCCAACTGGATCTCATCGTCCTCAACTCTGGGAGTGACTGGGTTGGTGAACATCTGATGCACTGTCTCAACAGTGTCAACAGTAGAGTCTAGCTCCTCAGACTGGCCAACTGGTGATGCAGGTGATGTGGGATCTGGCATGGATGGTGTGGGTCAATCAGCATATCAAATGAAATATCTCTGGCTGCCGCAAGCTTGGTAACCTATCTCCGGAGCTTGTCCACTGACTTCTTGGATGCCTGGGACTTTCTCATCTTTTTCACTTCCTTGCCCAGTTTTTTTATCACTGACCCGTGCTGCACCAATGTGGCCATAATCATGTTCTGGTTCTCTGGGAGCTTCTTCAATGTTTCTTCCACTGTTGGGGGCATCTAAGGTGCCGTAATGGAGGACTATGTTGCAACAGTACTAGATATCTCAGACAACTTTGCAGTAGCTGTCTGCATCTAGTTGTTGAGGCTCGCCAATATCTGGGTGAATCGCAACGCAGAGAGTGAGGTAGTAGGCATTGGCACCGGCCTCAAAGCCGAGGTAGAACCTGTAATAAGAGTTGTCGAAGGCACTGAGGCTGGAGGTGGAGGCATAGATGTTGCACTAGCTGAAGGCTCGGCTGAAGTGGATGGAATGTCAATTGCCTCTGCAACTACCATCGATGGC